TGGTATAATTCTGTTCAAAGTGTTTTACATAAATCACCTAATTAACTTCTCATTAATATATTATGAACAATGTATTTTTCCTTCCACATTACCCCACTCGAGAATACTAATATTATAAAAATCAAATAACTTACCCATTGTCACATTTTTAGACAAAAAATAAATCACTAATACATCTGGTGCTTATTTCATACATTCGTCATTAAAATTTACTTTTCCCCACTTTCTATTGTTTAAAGAATCATTTAATTTTTGTAAAATTAGTGAAATAATAGATTACTACACCATGAAAAGAATAAATGCTAAGTATGTGTTAAAGTAAACAATGATGTTAAATTAAGTATATTTCAAAAACTCTCTGTTTAGCAAATGCCAATATGAAATATCAGAAAAATTTTTGCATATTCAGCTTTGGAAAACCATAGTATGAGGATTTTGTTGCTGAAATTTACTTTCATTAATGAAAAGTGTAGTAGAATGTTTATATACCAATTTGGTTTTTTGGTCAGCTTTTTAAATGACTTCATAATTAGTCATTTTTCTCAAGTAAATTTTTAAATAACTTCAACTATTATTTTTGTCTTCCTGGTGCTTTTAAAATTTGAGGAATTAATTCTCCATCCATTTATATAAACTGTTGCTCAACAAAGAGATATCCCCATCTCAGAGCCATTTCTAAACTCCAAGTTAATTTTATGCAAATACTTATCTGAAAATAATACAGCAATATAAAATGCAATCTACAATTGTTACAACATTTTCACTTATATTCATGTAAGTTTACTGGAAAAAATATTTTAATTTGTCCCTATCTTCTTCTTGTATTTATAAATGTCTACGTATATACCATAAATATATAAATTGTGTTTGACTTTAGTTTACTTATTTTTAACCACAGTTCCATATTGATGCATAGTCTTCATATGTAATAAGCTTCTCCTTTCAACCCAACCTGACATTAAGCCTAGAACCCACAGAACAGGTGGAGGATTTTCATGAAGCCCTGAATATACTTCCCTATTTCTAGTAATGTTGGCAAATGGTCACCTGAGTCATAACTTCTCGAATCCAATGCCTGAGCTAGGCAGTGAATTCTATTTTTTCTGGAAAAACTTAAATGCTAAATGGCTGAATATAATTCAATTAGGTTAAACACTGCACAAAGAGGTTGGTTTTCTTTCGAATGAAAGTCAGATCTGTGCCCTCTTTATTTTTGACAAAACAATTACAACCTCTAACTTCCCTGCGTCTAGTCTTTGCTATCGCCCACACATCATCTGCACGGCTGCAAGAGGAATAAGTAAACATGGTCCAGTATTCTTCATAACTAACAATGTTTGAAAGAGTTGATGTTGACTGCAGGCTAATGTCCACATTCCTCAGGATCGCTTTTAAGATCCTACATGATCTCTTCTTAACATAGAGACTTATCTAGAAAGACTTTCCTAATTCTCTCAGACAAAGTTAGTCACACTTCCTTCAGGCTCTCGATGCCTGTGTGCCATCTATTGTCACTTGTGTCATTTGAGTCTAATCACTTTATATATCTGTCCACTGGTCTGTGAACCCTTAAGGGAAAAGACCAAAACGCATTCAGCTTTGTATCCTGAGTGTCTCTCGCTTTCTGTTATGTAGTTTCTGTCTCTCCTAGTTTCCTACCTCCTTCCACAGAGAACTTGACAAGTAAAATAATAACAATTTAAACAAAAATGACAGCAATAATGACAGTTTATCAAATCCTTGCTAATATTGTACAATGCTATGCAAAGTGCTTTGCATAAATTACCTAATTTAATATTAAACAGTCTGAAGACTTTTTTTCTCCCACATTACCCTATGTGAGAAAACTAACATACATGTTGTCACATGGGTAGTACGTAAGTGGCAAAGCTGTCATGTGAGCCTAGATAGTTTGATCTATAAATGCGGCAATTTAACGTTTGAGAAATAATCATCAGATAAGAGATGGTAAGGAGTTTATAATGCAGGCTAATTGAAAAAACTAAATTACAAATATTAATGTAAAGAAAGTAATTTATTATTAATAATTAGGATAAGGTAGTTTTTTAAAAAAAACATATGGGGTACAATTCAGCGTTAGGTATACAAGTGGTCATTGTACAGATCAAGTTTGGCCTCCCTTGGACCCCCACTTTGCTTGGTTTGATGCTGTGTCATCCTCCCCCCAAAAATGTATTCTGCTACTGCCATGCTGCCTTATAATATTATGGTAAATGTTCAGGGTCCACTTGTGAGTGAGAACATGTGTTACTCTGTTCTTTGTTACTGTGATAGATCACTGAATATGATAGACTCTACATCTATCCAAGTTGCTGTGAAATCTATATGTTTGTCCTACTGTATAGTTGCATAATACTCCATTGTGTATGTACCACATTTTCTTAATCCAGTCCAGTTTCCATGGGCAGCACAGTTGGTTCCATGTTTTTGCTATTGTGAAAAGTGCTGCAATAAACATGTGTGTGCAGGTATCCTTTTGATAGAATGATTTATATAATATATCAACATATACTGGGTATATTCCCAGTAGAGAGATTGCTGGGTCATATGGAAGGTCAATGTCTAGCGTTTTTAGAAATCGCCACACTGTTTTCCAAAAAAACAGTTTTAGAGAGGTTGTCATAGAAAGTATAGGCATGCAGGTGCGAAATGTGAGGTGGTATGACAGGACTGGGAAAGTAGCCAGTGAAGTGTCTGTCATCAAATTGCTTATCACTGTAGGCATTGGAGGTGCAATCCCATCCCGGGACCATTTATTCTTCACCTTCCATTCTTCATTGTTTGATACTTGCTCTGGGGGCATTCGTTTTTGAGCTTCTGATACATCTTTTGTGCAGAGATGAAAGAAAGTATTCCATTGACTGTCTACAGGTACTGTTAATAAGACCCTCTTGACTCATACTAGATTGATGAGTGCTAATGAGGTATTGGTGGTACACCAGCACCATCTGCTAGAAGCTATTACTGAAAGCCTCTCCCTCCTTCAAAACAGGTCTTTACCTTAAACTACGCATACACATAGGTTAGGTAGGAGGTAGGTAGATAGATAGATAGATAGATAGATAGATAGATAGATAGATAGATAGATAGATAGACGTGTATTGTATATATTTGAATGCTGTGTTCCAACTAGATGTCCTTACCTTTGATCCTTGAAACCCTCAAATGTGTCCCTCACACCCTGCATGTCTATGCATGTCCGTGTTTCATCAGATCAGTGGCACATGCCCAAAACATGTTAATGGTCCTTCACCACTTCTCCTAGTTACCAAGTCATACCAATTCTATTCCAGCATATACCTTGCACCTGTCCTCTGCAGATCACCTTCAAGTCTCACTTGCATTTCTACAACACTTTCCAATTTGGCTGAGGCCTCTTTCAAATATTCCTATAGTGCCCTATTAAACTCTTTACTATCCATTTTATTTTAAAATTGTCACTGTTTTGTTTGTCATTCTGAATCTTCCATGAAATTATAAATGCCTCGAAGTTAAAAATGAGATTTTGCTCACTATTTTATCTCAACTTTGGATCCTGGTTTATACCAAACTTTCACTAAATCATTATAATCTGAATGAATAAATGAATGAATGAGTAAGGCAATATAGATCATTTCACATTTCATGTGTCAGATAATTTGAACTCATGCAGATAGAAATTATTGAAAACACTTTTAAAGAAAGTCTTTGTTGTGTATGATTAGTCTTGTGTCCTTTTTATCTGTCCTTTTTTTCTGACTGGATTGTATGTGACTGTTAACATCTTTGAAGAGTCATCAGCCTATTTGCTGTTTATAGGATATTACTCTGAATATAGTTCTCATGTATTTAATTAATAGTCAAGTGATGTGTACAATATCTTGGCCTGATGTTTAAAAAATGATTTGCTTTCTTGGGAATAATACTTGCATTCCAAGAAAATTGTGAAGTATGGTAGCTTGCATAGTATATACAATTATCCTGAATATGATATATGGAAGCACAATTACTTGGGGCCTTTGGCTTTATTAGAAAGAATGAATTGTGATGAATTACGTTAGCACTGTTTTCCAGATCTACACAGTATATGTGAAAGTATCCATCTCACCAAACTCCCGTGGAAATTATTGACAGATTTTGTACATATTATATATTTTTTGCCATTTAAGTTATCCTAAAATGAATTTTGTGTTTTTACAGAATTTTTATGACTATATTATAGTATCATTTTGATGGTTTTCCAACTTCTTTCATTATCTGAATACATCAAGATCTACTTTTTTGATAAATATTGTTAAAAAAATTATTAAGCTCTTAGATTAAATAATGAATAAGACACAGGATACAAAATTCTTTTTGTCTTCTCAGATTGTTTCAACAATGAAAAAACAACTGGAGATTTCTTTATTTATAATTTTCATACAGACTGATAATGTCTTGGTTTGGATCTTAACATGGTTGTATTCAGTAAACAGCTCTTTCAGATTAAATCTTTATTTATTCCACTGAAGGGCTATGTCTGTTTTTGCCTTAAGTATTGTCAAACCATTGAAGCATTTCATGACCAAAACTGACTTATTAAACATAATTATTAAAGAAGTTAAATTTTCAGAACTCTCCAGAAAAATCCTATCTAAACCTTAATTTTGTGCTCAAGGAAAATAGTTTTAGTATCTATCTTTTTTCCTTATCTGTATCATGTAGCAATAGAAAATTTGTGGATCAGCATGAGGACAATATTTCAACAAACTGACATATTAGAGCCCTGATACAAAAGAGAATACAAAAAATTTGTAAATCAAGAGTGAGTGTTAAAGAGCATTATTACTGAATTCCGTGAACAAGTAGGGTAACTATTATGATACACAAGCTGACTGGGAAAATACTAGACACTAGAAGTTATGTTTTCACTGTTGTCTGATAACATCGTGAGTCAGTCTCAGCATAGGACATACCAGTTGTTCATTTGACATCCCTTTTTTTTTCTCCATCATCTGCAGCTGTAAGCACAAGATGTACCTGGAAAGGCTGCCAAACACCAGCATCATTATCCCATTTCATAATGAAGGTTGGACTTCGCTCCTGCGGACCATCCACAGTATAATTAACCGAACCCCAGAGAGTCTGATAGCAGAAATCATTCTAGTAGATGACTTCAGTGACAGAGGTAAGACGCAGCTGATAACACTTTACCTGATTCTGTTATCAGTCACATAATCATTAAGGGCTTTAAAACAGTGAGTTTCTTTTGGATCCCATCTGAAAGGTGATTATGAAGTTTTATCTATGTTATGACAGCATAAAGTGCTGGCCAAATGCAGAAAAAACTTAAAGAGAAGTTATTGGTGTCATTTGGGGACCTACTAGAAATTTGCATTACATTTCTGTTGTACATTAGACAGGTGTTGGAAAAATGTCTCAAATTCTACTTTCAGCTTTAGGACAAACACTGCAAAATATATTATTGTAAGCACACATGATTGATGAAATATTTGTGTAGAGCTATAAAATCTATTCCTGTTTCAGAAAAGTATCTACTTTGTTACTTACCTGTTTGATACATTCTCCAGGTTGTGCCTGTGCTAATTCATAAAGATTAGAAATTACAAGGGACATAAATACATATTTTTACTTGGTAATTCTAGCTATTTTATCTATATTAACAGTAACAGAAGCAATCTGGTGTTATAGTATATTAGAAAATTTGACATAGGTTTTAATATCTTTACAACTCTGGTAAAATGCAGTTTGCTTTGTAAGATAGGAATAAAATTATAAAAACTTTCCTGACAGTTGGACTTCATAAGTCATATTTCAATCTAAATATAAGAGTTGTTAATACTGTGGAGAAAGCAAAGTCTTTTCTTTTTGGCTTATTTGAGTGGAGAGAAGAAAGTCTTTCTAATGATAATCATCTATTTGTGTAATTTTCTATCTTATATTCCATTGCATGAAGGAGATTCACTTAACTCCTCTGTGTATCTCTATGAAAGAAAAATTGCTAAAATAACTTGTTATAATATTATTTTATACCTCAAAAGAGAATGAATCTTGAGATTATATGAGTTAATTGGGGTTTGGGAAATTTTATTTGCTGCAAAAATAAGTTTTTCATAGCATTCAAAAATTCTGTAGAAGTCAGTCTGCTTAGTGTATTAATTTTAAAGTTTCTTTAACAGAGTTCTAGTATTTTTAAATACTGATTTTTATCTATACTGATTCAGGGGTTGTTTAACATCAATATTCATTGGAGCTTAGATGACAGAAATGAAGTTGTTTGATGCCATTCTACTAAAATTTAAACCGAGTTGGTCGTTTAGGTTTTATTGTAAAGAGCTTTTTACTTTGTGTTGTTTAGGTGAGTATGCAGTCATCTGACCTAAGAATAACAGCCAGTATCTAAAATTGAAATTTTCAGAGATTCAAAAAAGCAATTTAAATAGCATATTTATTTCTTTTGGTTGAGTGGTACTAAGAGAAATAAGGCAGTGTATCTTGGATTATTTTCTACATAATTAGCTTTGTCTTGATAAACCATTTAGAACAGCACAATTGTGACCTGGAAGCAATATAGTAAGAAATACCTGGTGGCAGAATATTGTGGTTTGTGGAGCATTTTTGCTGAATAATTCTCAGGGGCACTTTCCAGGAGGTTGAAAATAGTGGCACCTACATTTTCTTGGCTTCATATTACTGCCATCTTTGGTACAGTAGCAGTTTTGATGACTATGTTTCTGCATATGTTATCTGAGAAGTATGTAGACTGCCAATATCATCAATATTAGTGAGGTAGAACAACAGGAAAAGGATTGTTTGGGACAATAATGGTGACTTTTGACTGTATTATTGGATTTTTTTAAAAATAATAATTGCTTTAATACTTGGGGGTAGTTTTCATTTAGATATTTTATTCCTATGAACCATCAAGTTGAAAATATTATTTTATAATCAATTACAAAAATGAATTTTGAAAGAAATAAATGATGAAATGCTTTTATCATATTTTATAATACATTATAATGTTAAAGTTACATGAAATAGAAAAGACCCTTCTTCTAACTTATTGTTTTGTGGTATAAGATCTAATCTGAGCATGTGGGTGGTGTGTATTATGGTTTGAGTAGACCTGTGAGTGGCATACCTGCTTCTGAATTATGGGAAATGTAAAGCATTAGCATGATCAACATGGGTCAAAATCCCAACATTGACTATGAACTGTATTTCAGTGGGGATATTGACTTCCATGAGTTTCTGACTCTTTATCAAAACAGGGAGAATGATAGTGATTCTTCATAGAAAGGTTATGATAGACATCAGGGATAGTTGAGTGAATTGCGCACTGCATAAAAAAGTAATTGCTCTTAGCTATGGATTTCTACTCACAATATATTCCCTTACTATTATGATGTAAATAGTCTCCACACTTTTTTTAAGGAGATTATCTTAATTTAATCAAATATAATCCATCTATCTATCTCTCTATCTATCCATCTATCCACCTTTCTACCTATCTCTGGAATCAACAGAAGTTAGTTAAAGGATATATAAGAACTAGACATAGCAATTTACAGCAATTGGAAAAATGAGGATAACTTTAGTATTTAAAAAAATCTTCAAGATGCTCAATAAACTACTACAAATGTTGAAGTAAAATAAAGTTCTGATAATTCACTCAGAAAGATTAGGTTATCTACCTAAATTATATAAATGACCCTACATGAATATTTAGCAGAATTCTTTTCAATATTGTTTGTACTGTCACAAGAAAAGGAAGACTTGCCAAGGCATCTCTTGTTTACAGGGCCTCTAAGAGAGAGAAACTATTTCTACCCCCTTTTTATTCAAATGTATCTATTGCTGTGTTGTTAAAAGCTACAATTAACATAAACTATTTCTGGACAATCCCCCAAATCACAACCATGTAATGTGTAGAGTCCTTTTCTTTAACTCTTTAAAAATCAAATTAAGTAGACTAGAAAAATATTGAAGTACAGGAAGGCTGTTGGCATCCTTTATAAAGTTATTTCTTCAGTGTTACACTTTAAACTTATTTTTAAAAATAATTTCCATTCCAGTTCTGTTCGGTATGCAACTGAACACCATTGCACTATATGCCTCTTTCAGATATTCTGCAATGTTATTTGGTCAAAGGCAGTAAAATTTTGACAAGACTTAATCAGGTATTATTGCCTTATGTTTTACTTCCTTTAGGTCAATAGAATAGTTATGCATGACAAAAAATACAAAAGTCATTATTTTGGCCATGTTCTTAACACAAATGTAATATCATGTGGAATTTATATTTTCAAAAACGTAAGACTATAATAACTGGGAAATTCTGTAACAGTGGGTTTCACAAAAATAGAGAAAGCAAAATACTGAAAGATTTTATTTTATAATTATAGAATAATTCTTAATCATTACCAAGTGATTTTTAAAAAATATACTTGAATAGAATTGACCCCAGTTCTCAAAATGCTTTTTTTTTTTTTTTAAGTGAAATTCCATTCAGCAGTTCTCGGTTTAGTTATTTTTCCTAAAATGAACTTGGTAACTGAATGTTATTTTAGACTCAGAACATAAGTCCTCTGTCTATAAAAACATGAATGCGAAGGTCTGCAGGTAAGTTTTCAACAACAACCACTTTTTCTGTTTTTGGGGTTTTGTTTGTTTGTTTGTTGTTTTTTTCTATCTGCAGTTTACCAGTTACTGAATGTGGCTATTTTTTTTTCCAGTAAGCTTTCAGAAATAAATTTAACAACTTAACTTAAGGCCTATAACAAGGCTTCATGGTGACTTTAAAGCAGGACTAATCCTGGGCTTATCTCCAAATTTCAGGCAACCTTAACGGCATCCACATGGAAAATGTTGAAATGTGTGAAATAAGCTGGGGCTTAACCTCAGAGGTAGAGTATATTTGAACCTGACAATTCCCTGAACTTTGTGTGCTTTGATGAATGCTAGTCTAATTCGGGGATGGTTGCAGGAGAGCTCTGATACATTTCCCTTATTGCAAGTATGGAGGCACGACTGAGTTCCAGGGTACACACACAAGCATGGGCACACCCTCAACCCTACCCTGCTTGTCAAAAACTTCCTGGTCAGAAAAGGTAGGTCGTTCAGTATTTGAGTCTCACAAAGATCTACTCTTACCCATGTGCTGGTTAAAGAGAAAACTAGAGCGTTGAAACAATTCTCCCAAGCTGGCAATGCCAGTAACTTTTAAAGAAATCCAGTTTATTTGTCCTCAGACATCCTATTTTTCCTCAAGCAGTCTCGTTACTCAAGTGTGGTTCATGGGCCAGTATTATATTGAAGCTTGTTGGACATGCAGACTCTCAGGCCTCTCCTAGATGAATCGGAATCTATGTTTTCACAAGAACTGTGTATACTGTTTATGCAAAGTGAAGTTTGAAAATCATATGTTTCAAAATTGGAGTTGAAGTTCCAATGAATAATATTAATAGATAAAATAACTTCAAAATATCTCCTGTTTCCAATACACGTTATTATGAAATAAATTTTCTTACTTGTTTATTTATTATTGTGCAATTAATATGAATTTATAAATTCACTAAGGACCTCTCCATTATTTTATGTAACTTTTATCATTATATTTCTTTGCTAGATCTTGGCATTTTCACTAATCTGTAGACATTTTTGTTTGATCTTATAAACTCACAGCATCTTATATTTAATTTCAGGTTACTAACACTACCCCTTCCCTTGCCAATACTTGTTTTCTGTTATAAAAATAATGCCTTACAAAGTTGTGTAGACCTATTTTGCTTTGGAATCAGTAAATAATTTTTATGCCAAGTTCTCAAAGAGAAAAAAAGAACAGCAACAACAAAACGTGTGTGTATACACATATATCTGCTGTGTGTGGAAATGGCAATTTTTATAAAGATCCACATTATCATTAAAAAAAATCCTCGACTATTCACATGGCGGCAACTGTTTATAACTCTTTAAAATGTTGGGTATATTTTTAAGTGATTTTACAAATGATAATGATGGGTCTTGGATTTCAATTTCTATGTTACAGAAATAGTCTCCAAGTATAAATTAAGGAAAGTTTCCATGAGCCAACAAATCAGTTAGCACAAGTTTTATAACTGTTCAAAGTTGGCCGATATCATCAGTGTGAAAAGGTTGTAAAATAGATGAAGAATGGTAGTGTATTTCTATTTTATATTATAGAATACTAACACTAAAGTGCATTTAAAGATTCTGAGATGACAATCGACAAAAATGTTTTAGTGCTGGTTTTCTATCAGATACTCCTCTAGACTTGAGACAAGCAAGTTTTACATCTCAGATTTTGTGATAGCTACTCATTCTAAGTAAATTATGGAATTGCTTAGATTTAATATCCATATTTAGAATTGTGAGGATAATTATATTTTAAAATCAAAACACAATATCAAACTAATTACTGTTAAGTAGCAGGAAGCAAACAAATGTTATAAAATACAACTCTCATGTTAAGAAATTCATCATCACCCACCAAATAACTGAAAGAAATCTATTCTGATTTTTGATGATTTTATATCATGTTGCATAATATTGAAATATACAGACAGTTTTAATAGAATGGTTCTGTTTGCCAATTAGTTTAACATTTGTGATTATCAGGATATCTTGGCCATTGAGTGGCACTGCTGTCTATGATCATAAGTATGAATGTAAAACAGTAAAGTGCTCTCAAGTATATAGAGAAAATTGAGTCTGAAATATGTAAATAGAAGTTGGGGAAGTTATAAAATATAAAATCAACTCACACAAAGTCTTTTTGCATTCATAAAATATGAGTATTACCCAGCCATGGCAGAATCTGCCTGGAGTAGAATCTATCTCAGAAGACAAGCATTTTGAGGTTTCACTCTCTCTTAACTTTAATGTAACAATTCAATCTCATATGAGGTACATGTCTTCAGAAACAATAAAATTTATCTGACAAACACAATGAGTGTTATGTATGCTTGTTGATCCTTATTTTGCCTTCATGTTTAGAGTAATATTATATTGTTTCTTTGTTGCTCTTAAAGTGAGAATGTGGATAATCTCTCAAGTTTTTAGGAATGTTGAACATGTTCACAACTTTTATGCTTTCTAAAGCAATGTTTTGTTTATTGATTTTAAGTAGGTGCCCATTTACTAATTAGGATAAAGGATCTTATAGAACTCTATGTTTTTTTCTTAATTGTTTTATGAATTCGCCTTTGTAATACTGGCATTGGTAGTCAGAATACTGCAAAATACTCTTATAGAGATAATATTCTGTCTTCTAAAGAAAGTAATGATATACCTCAATTAGATAAAATTACATTCAGTTTAATTAATTTAGGATTTACATTTAATTTACAAGGACATTGTTTGTCGATCTATGCAAATAGTCATTTTAGTGGAGATAGTTTTAACAAAAAAACTGTTAAAATGTTTTAAGGTAAGACATTTGAGAGGTCATTATCACAATGAAATGCATGTAGGCTCATTCTGAACACACATATGGTAACTTTGGGAAATATGTAATAGAATAAAGTAATATGATGTGGAAACATACCCTAAGTTCCCTCATCTAGCTTATATTGGACTGTACCTTAGATCTCACTTGTAGAATTTGAGCAAATTTAGCAGCAAAAATATTAATTAATTAACTAATTAATTACATTGTTATATGTACCACATTTTTTTAGCCAGTCCATTTTTAATGCACAGCGCAGTTGGTTCCATGTTACTGCTATTGTGAATAATGCTGCAATAAATATGCATGTGTAGGTATCTTTTTTGTAAAGTGATTTGAGTTCCTCTGGACATATGTCCAGTAGGGAGATTGCTGGGTCATATGGAAGGTCAATGTTTAGTTCTAAATAGAAATTGCCACTTTTTTTCCAAAGAAGTTGCACTAGTTTACATTCTCACCAGCAGTGTAGAAGCATTCCTTTTTCTCAACATCCTTGTCAGCATTTGTTGTTGTTTGTTTTATTAATGATGGCCATTCTTACTGGGATTAGGTGGTATTTCAATGTGGTTTTGACTTGCATTTCTCTGATGATTACAGAAGCTGAGCACTTCTTCATGTGTCTGCTGGCTACCCATATATCTTCTTTTGAGAAGTGTCTAATCATGTCTTTTGTCCACTTTTTTTTTTTTTTTTTTTGAGTTGGAGTCTCACTCTGTCACCCAGACTGGAGTGCAGTGGCTGCTCCCGGCCACTGCAGTCTGGACCCGCTGGGCTCTGGCCATCATTCTGCCTCAGCCTTCCAAGTAACTGGAACTACAGGTGTGCCCTACCATGCCCGGCTAATTTTTGATTTATTGTAGAGATGAGGTCTCACCAAGTTGCCCAGGCGGCTCTCAAACCCACAGGCTCAGGCAATCCACTCACCTCGGCCTCCCAAAGCGCTGGGATTACAGGCTAAGCCACCGAGCCTGGCCCTTTTGTTCACCTTTTAATGGGGTTGTTTGTTTTTTTCCTTTTGGCATGTCTGAGTTCCCTATAGTTTCTGGATGTTAGGCCTTTGTCAGATATGCAGCTGGCAAATATTTTTTCCATTCTGTGAGCGGTCTCCCTGCCCTCTTGACGGTTTATTTTGCGTTGCAGAAGCTTTTCAGCGTGATGAGGTTCCACTTGTCTATCTTATCTCTTATAGCATGGGCATTTGGTTTTTGATCAGGAACTGGTTGCCAGTTCCAATTTCCATAAGGGTGGCCCCTGCATTTTCTAAGGTTCTTATAGGTCTTTGATCCATTTAGAGTTGATTTTTGTGTATGGTGATAGGTAAGGGTTCTGTTTTAAATTCTGCATGTGGTCAGCCAGTTTCCCCAGCACCATTAGCTGAATAGGTTCTCCTCTCCCCAGTGGTTGTTTATGGGGACTATGTCAAAGATGAATTGGTTGAGAAATTGATGTCTTGCTTCTGAAATTCCTATCCTATTTCATTGGTTCATATGTCTATTCTTGTACCAATATCAGACTGTTTCAACTGTTGTATCCTTATGGTAAAGTTTAAAGTTTGGAAGGGTGATAACTCCTTTTTGTTTCTTTTGCTGAGGATAGTTTTGGCTATCCATGGTCATTTGTGTTTTCATATGAGTTTCTGTACTGCCGTTTCCAGATCTGAGAAGAATGATGTTGGTAATTTAATGAGTATTGTGTTCAATCTGTAGATTGCCTTTGTAGGATGGACATCTTAACAATGTTGATCCTTCCTATCCATGATCATGGACTATTTTTCCATTTGTTTGTGTCATCTTTGATTTCTCTGGTTAGGAAGATGCCAATGTGGTTCTTTTTTTTTTGCTTTTTTTTGTTTTTTTTTTAGGTGGCTATTGTGAATGGAATTGTGCTTTTTATTTGATTCTCTGTCTGCTTGTTGTTGGTGTATAAGAATGCAACTGTCTTTTGCACATTTATTTACCCTGAGACTTTGCCAAAGTCCTTCACAAATGAAAGGAGGTTTTTGACAGATTCCTTTGGATTTTCAAGGTATAGGACCATATCATCAGCAAAGAGGGATTCCTCTTTTCTTATTTTGATACCCCTGATTTCCTTCTCTTGTCTAATTGCTCTAGCTAGGACTTCCAACACAACGTTGAAAAAGAGATGAAAGAGTGGG